AAAAAAAAAAAAAAAAAGAAAAATCAAAATAATTAGTTTATTATTTATGATACATATTTAATTCTTTTTTACTGGAAACCTTTCTAGAGACATTTGTTTTTGCCGATGCTTCAAAATTTGGTGAAAATGCGACACAGCGTTATCATTACATAAATTTGTAATGTGCATAGCCACTGCCTTATTAGGATGATGCTTCTCAATGTACGATGCAACAGTTTCGCATGCTTTCAGCATTTCTCTTATTGTGCCAGAAGAGTGTTGCTTTGCTGTTACCTCCTCCTCCTCTTTCTCTGACAAATTCTCCTCCACAACTTCTTGCTGTGAAACACAATGCAACTCCAAATCGTGCAAATCGTTGATGTAGACCGATTGTATGCGCGTGCTACATCAGCCACGCTCACACTTCATTCTCGCTTTTCAGTGATTTTACATTTCATTTCTACAGTTATTTTTATTCTCTTATGGCTGTCTTTAGCGGCTTTTTCTTCGGAGACATTTTTGCAAGCGAAACGTCGCTCATTAAACAAGTCATTTTTTTTACAGTTTGTTTTGCTTGTTATCCGAATTACTCGTTATGAGAGGTACTCGTTAAGCGAGGTTCCACATAACGTATTATTATACTTACATTGAATTCTCGCTAGGTGTTATACTATTAATGACCTATGAAACAAGAAAAGTAAAAGTGAGATCTGAGTCAAAGATGTAAAGAGTTGTCCAGCTTCAGAATCTATGTGCCTTGCTGTTGGCAGTTGTGACCAATGCCAAAGTGTGGGTGCTCAACAGGCAAGTGTTTCAGCAAATAATGATGCGCACCCGTCTTCAAGACATTGAAGACAAGGTCAAGTTCCTGCGCAGCCATCCACTCCTCAAGGACCTCAGCACAGGAATCCTTGCTAAGATGTCCGATCTTCTACAAGTGGTGAGCACTGGTTAAATTTAATCAGTAACTAACCTCATAACTCCCTGCCTCAAGTGATGGGATGGGGCTCAGTAGTAAGGTGTCATATGTCAGATCTGTGGGAAACAAATTATTTTTTTTACAATTGTTGTGTTTCTGGACAATATCCATTGTCATGTTTTTATTTAAGAGATATGAAGTTTCAGAGTCTCCCACATTTGGTTTGTGCTGTGCCTGGTGTGTATTTACTCTCTTGTGTTGGTGCCCCAATATAGGGACTAGCTTTATTAATGGGGCCAAACTGAGTAGGTTTCACCTGAAAATGGAGACAAAATCCAGTCTCCAAAACTTGTGTGCTTTAAATAAAAACAGGACGATTGATAATGTGCAGAAATGAAATAGCTGTATTAATACACCATCATCACAAATATTGAAATGAATATTTCCTGACACTTATTCAACTGATACTCCATATTTATCCGTCAAAACTCATGAGACTGAGTGGATGGAATAGTGGTAATTCTCTGGGCTCATTTTCTGGAGCGTTCTGGTTCCAGCATCAGCTGGAACATGCTGGTTATCATGACAAGTTTTTGGTTTCCCTTATTCCCTCCTGGTAAGTGCTGAGATAGTACCTTGTTCAAGCCATGGCCACTTCCATCAGAATTCTTTCCATTTAATCATTCATCAGGTGTCTTACCATAGTCCACACACTGTCATGAAATAACCCAGAAACTCATAACTCAGAGATGCATGATAGAACCAAACAGGTAGTAATTTATTTAAACCTATGTCTTGAGCTAAGATCCAACAATTGGATAGTCCTACCAAGTTAACTGAGCCCTTCTATACTGTGTGTAATGCAACTATTTGGTCCAAACAGGAGTTCTTCCCACCCGGACAGCGTATCATACAACAAGGCGACAAGGGTGACAAGTTCTACATAATCAGTGGTGGAAATGTGAAGATAACCAAAAAGGAGCCAGGTGTGTCACTCTTCATGTGAACCACATTTCTTAAAAGTAAATTCATTCCTAAAAACAACAGGGTGGGAAGAGATACTTGATGAGGAAAATATATATTATCCAAATGTATTCTCTCTGATTTTTCATGCTTTATCAACCTCAATATTCATTTATTGTCAGAGGGGTCCAAAAAATGTACTCACTCTTTGATAGTCAGTATCTTTGGAAAATGACGTGTAGTTACAATTCTTGCGAGGAGAGAGAGAGAGAGAGAGTCATTGTATGTGTTCGAAGTGACCACCATCAGTGGCTAAACAGCGTTGATGCCGCCAAACTGCTGAGTGAACTACTGCTGTCAGTGTGTCCGATGTGATGGCTGCACACGACTCTTCGATGGTTTCTCGTGGCACGTTCAGTGTAGCTGTCTTTTGTTGATAAACTTCATCCTTCAAGGTTCCCCATAGGTAGAAGTTGAGAGGTGTTAAGTCTGGAGACAGTGGTGGATACTCAATAGCACCTCTTCGACCTATCCATCGTCCAGGTAGAGTGTCATCCAAGTACGCCCTGACATCTCTATGGTAGTGTGGTGGAGCACCAGCTTGTTGCAGTTAAAATATCTTCATCTCCAAACAGCTTTCGAACGGCAGGGAAAATCGATGTCTGAAGCATATCGAGATACACCTGACTAGTGTTGCAACACCCCAGCACTGGAAGATGGACTTGTTACTATCCATGGCCGTCCAAATCTTTGCTTATGCACATCATGAACAGTACCGTCGGCTTCAAATTTATCCCGAATACGGCCAACTGTTCGACGTATTGGTGGCTGAGTTCCAAACTCATTCTGTCATGTAGTTACTATAGGATTCTGACGATGGTGTATAACACACTGATATGTTGGGATTTTGGACTTTATCCATCATCCTGGTTTTTAAGATAACAAATAAAAACACGACGTTTCGGAAACTGGATCTGTTTCCGTCCTCAGATGAAGGAAAACACCTATTCAGTTGGGTCCCTTAGAAAGAGCTAGCCTCAATCACTGGACGTGATTGAGTGATTGAGTGATTGAGTGATTGAGGCTAGCTCTTTCTAAGGGACCCAACTGAATAGGTGTTTTCCTTCACCTGAGGACGGAAACAGATCCAGTTTCCGAAACGTCGTGTTTTTATTTGTTATCTTAAAAACCAGGACGATGGATAAAGTCCAAAATCCCAACATATCAGTGTCATTCTGTCATTGTCGTTGTACCTCTTTAATGTTTCTGTACTTCCAGTACCACTTCAGTGCAGCCTTGCTCAAAGAACAACCTTTCAGCCATTGTTGCTGCTGTCTTCTGCTCGCAGCACGCACACGGCATGACACTCACATGATTCGTGACCTTCGCCATCTGTTGAGAAATCATTACACTACACCACCGCGCAAGAATTCTAACTACATGTCATTTTGTTCCAAAGATTTTGACTATCAAAGAGTGAGTATATTTTTTTGGACTCCCCTGTATTTATTTAATATATTGTTTTTCAGATGTACATTGAAGTTCCTGGTGAATATTTTGAACACTTCTGTAACATACCCATTACAGAATAACACTTTATTTAGTTGTACATTTAAGGTATGGTGAAAACTTTCTCAGAAACCTTCACATCTGATAATCGTACATTTGTATCTTACTCTCAAGTTTCCATTACTCCCTAAAATTTCAAAATTAAACATGTTAACAGGAATCTTTTGAACTGGATAGCTTGATTAATGTCTCCTACAAGCTGGAAGGTCTTTGATTCAATTTCTAATGAGGTCATCTGATTTTTCATTTAATCTAATCCTTCCAGCTGCACTGTGGCCCTGGGGTCAACTCGTCCTCTAACAGAGTACCAGGTTTCTTCCTGGGCATAGAGGGCAGATGACACATAAGGCTGACAACTTCACCTTCATCTGTAAGCCGATTGTCTAGAAATGTGGGGGCCTCGATGTCTCTCAACATCTCACAACCCTATAGGCATCCACTGGCTTGTTACAGGGATAGCTTTACCCATACCTTACTCAGAAAGTTTCCCAGACTCTTTCTGAATTACCATACATACATAAATGAATTCGTGCACACGCGCGCGCACACACACACACACACATTTGCAACATGATGATCTCATAAGCCTAAGGAAGGCCAGTAGATCTATTTGTAATGTGTTGTGAAATTTGCCAATCATATACTATTTAAAGCTGTAGAATATAAATCATCTACAACATGAAGTTAGACTGAGTCTTGTTCAGTGGATTTATAAATATTTCAGGAGATGATAAGGAACGTGAAGTGGGAACACTTTCGCATGGCAAATACTTTGGTGAACTTGCGCTGCTGAAGGAGGACACACGGCAAGCTACTGTAACAGCGATGCCACCTGGTGCTGAATGTCTTGTCCTTGACCGAGGGTATGTAACTTACAGTAGGAGTTAAAACAAGCATTTAAAAGTTCATAGGAAGGCAGGATATATTACTGTAGTTACTGTAATTATTATTGATGTGAAACTCTGTGAACATTTTTCATTGACAATTCAGCTGCACTGAGCAGAGAGGTCACATTTCATGCAGAAAAACATCTTCAGTATTTGCTCCTGATAAGGAATTTATTTCCTTTGAGCTTTAACATTGGAATCCTTATTCCCAAAAGGAAATGTCTTCACTGTGGGTTTCAAACCATCTGTTCCTGAGCTACTCTAGTATTTGCCCATCTCCTCTTATGGACTGTGATGACTAAATCTGAGAATCTGTTGTAGCCAGATATGTATTTAGAATCCTATGAGTACCCTCTTATGTGCCTCCGGAGTTTAATCTCTAAGTCCCGCATAGATCCTGGAAATCATCAACTTACAAGCACAACACATGGATAATTCCTCAGATGAAGAAGTTAATATGTAGGTAAGTCAGTAAGCAAGTTACAAATGGATATCGAACTTAAACAAATAAGAGTACTGATTTGTAAAAGGCTTTTATTTCTCAACATAATCTCCCTGTACATTGAGGCACTTCTTATACACTGCTCGGTGGGGCGGAGTGAAACTTGAAATTGAGGAGGAAGAATTGATTGGCGTAATGACGTAGATGCTGGCTAGCAGGAGGCGCCTTATAAATTCGAAAGTTTGAGGCCATCTGATTGGTTAGCGCGCGTGATGGTGAATAGTGATGTGAAAAGCGAGCGTTGCAGAAATGCGTGATAATGTGGGATGTTCCCACAACAAATTACTCATTTCAGACCTCTAACTGTGCAATGGACCTAACCATGCCTCCTTCCAATCTTGTTGATTTTTATATTACTGAGTAGAGACCCTCGTATTTGTATCTACACAAATTACTTTCCCATGATGGTGTGCACGCGTATTAGAAAGTAAAATATTGTCACACATGACATAATTTACTATATTGTCATTTGTAAGTAACAGGTCGGAAATACTGCCATTCACTGAGTAAAATGTTTAAGGTACTTCAGACTACTGAGAAACAATTGTAAAGTATTGTCACTTGCTAGGCAACAAATTTTGAAGTATTGTTACTTGGTAAGCAGCAATTTTAATGTATTGTCACCTGCTAAGTAGCAGTTTTAAAGTATAGCCACTTGCTGAGTAACATTTTTATACAAGGTGGTTCAAATATGACCGGGCCTGATTTGTGTGTAAACAAGCCGCACTGCGCCGCAGCTGTGCGGCCTTGAGAGAGTGAAGCCACAGCCTCCACCCTACCTCCTGTTCGAGTTAGAACCTGTTCAGTCCTATCTGGGAGTTGCTAGAGTCATGAGGGAACAGAAGGTGCCGTGGAGCCTGGATCAACGCATTGTGATCAAATTCCTTGGAGAAAACGTCCTGTCCTCTGAAATTCACCACACACTCCAACAACAGTATGGGGAAGAGTGTCTCTCATGGACCCGTGTGTTTGAGTGGTGTAAGTGCTTCAGAGAGGGCAGAGAGCACGTGGAGAATAAACCGCATGATCGTCGGCCGCGAACATTCATCACTGAGCCAAATATTGATCATGCAGACATGCTTATTCGTGAGAATAGGCGCATCACTATCAAGGAACTTCGAGCAATGCTGTCCATCAGTGTTGGTAGTGTAGAAGACATCGTGAAATACCACCTGCACTATTGCAAAGTGAATGCGTGGTGGGTACCACGCACTTTGACGGACGTGAACAAAATGGTGCGCATGCAAGCTGCCAGTCATCTCCTACAGCAGTTTGAAGATGAAGGTGATGCATTTTTGAAGTCTATAGTGATCACCGATGAAACATGGGTTCACTACTTCATTCCCGAGTCCCAGCAGTCATCGCATGAGTGGTGGCATACCAGTTCTCCCAAACCCAAGAGAGCACGGAAGAGCCGTTTGGCAGGAAAAGTGATGGCAGCCTTCTTCTGGGGCTGGCAGGGGGTTATCCATGTAGACTTTCTGACAGCCAGAACAGTCAGTGCAGCTTATTACTCAGATCTCCTGGCAACAGACATGAAGAAAAAGGTCCAATCCAAGTGGAAGACAGGTGGAAAGCAGGTAGTATTCCTTCAAGACAATGCACGCCCCCATATGGCCAAAACAACAATTGAAACCCTCCGGAAATTGAAATGGAACCTTCTGACACATCCACCATACAGTCCCAATTTGGCCCCAAGTGATTTCTACCTGTTCGGAAGGCTCAAATCAGACTTGCAAGCCATGTGGTTTGTGGACAACGACGCCGTCATCCAGACTGTTCAGGGGTGGATACGCCGCCAACCACAAGCTTTTTTTGAAAAAGGGCATCAGGATGCTTCTGGAACATTGGAAAAAATGTGTTGACTCCAGAGGGGAGTACATTGAAGACTGACATGTGCAAGTAAGTGTTTGGCAATTATGGTTTAAAAAAAAAAGTCAGTCCCAGTCATATTTGAACCACCTTGTAGTATTGCCGTTTGTTAAGTAAGATCTTTCCTATATTGCCACTCAGTAAGCAAGAGTTTAACAATATTGTCACTCTCCAGATAACAGTTATGTTGTGCTATCACTCACTGTCTATTAATTTTAGTGTATTGTCATATGCTATATAGTAGTTTTACAGTATTATTACATGCTTAATAACAGTTTTACAGTGTTTTCACATGCTCAGTAACAGTTTTATAATGTCAGAAGTATCTAAGTTTTAGTGTACTGGCAGTTGCTGAGTAACAGTTTTACAATATTTTCACTCACTGAGTATCAGTTTTATATTGCAGTCTCTTCCTAAGTAACAGGTTTCAGTATTGGCACCTGTTATGTAAGAGTTTTACAGTATTGTTACTTGCTAGTTAACAAATTTGCAATATTATCACTTATTAATTAAAATTTCAAAGTACTATCACGTACCAATCACCAGTGTTTCAGTATTGATACCCACTAAGAAAGAGTTTTACAGTAGTGTTACTAAGCACAGTATTTTTCCACTTGTGACATAAGAATGTTGCTGTATTGGCACTTACTAAGGAAGAAACTTACAGTAATGTCACTCACTATGTAACCACTTTATTTACTAGAGCTGTAAAACTTTTGATGCCATGCTTCATTTTTCATTTTTTTTTTTTTAATTTTTATTATCATTCAACAATCCATACATACAGGTATTACAACCATTTGGATAGGGTTGCTGGTTTCTCACCATATAGCTTCAGGTTCATTCCTGTGTGGCTGTTTGTGAGATTTCTTATAGAAGAAGTGACATTGTAGCAGGTTTGTCTCTCCATTTCTCCTGGTGTCCCATGCTAATCACAATTACACTACTACTCCATGTTTCTTCATCACTCTTCCCTGGGGTCTACAACAGACCTGATCAGGCATCACAATATGAAAGCCCGAGGCTTTTCTCCGAGCTTCTTACTCTTTTGGTTGGAATTTGGCTGATACAGAGTTAAGAATTGAGGAAGATTTTTTATTTTTATAATTTCTAAAATATTTCATCTATGTTTTTGATGTTATTTTTAATGCAAAACATGATCATTGATTATGTATTTTTCTTCAGTCCATTCATCCAGTTACTGGGAGGCTTGAAAGAAATAAGGGACATTGCCGATGAGTACAGCAACAGGAAAAGAGAATCATATGACCTCACACAGCAGAATGCCAAATTAGGTAATTAAAAGAATGAATGTCTTGCTATCTTCAGCAGAAAATCTGCTCTAGACCTTAGGATAATGTTATGAATTATATGAAGTCTGGAACACAATTGTCCATTTCTTGATAAAGAGGTTAGAAATGATTTTAAGAGCAAAGAACAAACTTTTCCACTGTCTTTGCAGAATATGAATATATTGAGTTGCACGAGCTGAATGTAGTGGGAACACTTGGAGTGGGAGGATTTGGGCGAGTGGAGCTTGTGCAGTACCACAAGGACAAGAACCTCACATTTGCACTCAAATGCCTGAAGAAGAGTTATGTTGTAGAACAGCAACAGGAGGAGCATGCTTACAATGAGAAGACAGTCATGCTGGCCTGCTCAGATTGCCCATTCATATCCAAGTAGGAGAAGCTATTAACTTAGTAAAAGTCAAACTCATACTTTAATCCAGATAATATATATTTTCTAATGGAATTTTTGTATTTCATTGACTTTTGAATTTGCTCTTTCCAGCAAAAATCTGATGTTATACAGCTAATTACACTACAGATATCACACTGCATATAGCATAATTATCTTTATTTTTAGAAGTGATATTGCACTGCTAGTGGAAATTATCACAGTAACATTATTTATAAATAGTGTTAAAGTCTGTATCCTTTTACTATTTCATACTTGGTCTGCTATGTCCATTAATTAAACTTGTATAACTGGCTTGCCTATTGCTCCAGTATCATTTATGTCCTACTTCAGCTTGTTGTTGTCACAGATGTCACTGCAGCCTACTGGTCCAGCCAGATGACTGGGCAACAGTGGAAGTAATTCATGATGATGATGATGACATTAAGCCATGTAATCCTGGGACCTGACCATTCTTCAGCATCTAGGTTCATTGCTGGTTGTGGGTTTAGCACTTAGGATAGTGTGGGTTTATGGGATGATGTTTCCACACAGCTTACATACATACATACATACATAGCATTCCATAGATCCATGAGTTAGTCAGATGACCTACCGGATGTGGAATTTGTCAAAAATCATGCAATACATATATACATGCACAATTCAATTTCACATAAATAGTAAGGATTTCGCAAAAGTAGTAAAATATCCATCATAAATCCATACATTAACATATACTAGATTTTTTTTTTCCTGTGTTCCAAACAAGAGAAAACATTACATACACTTTATGTTGTTTGGAAGCATAAATTCCTCAACAGAGTAAAAGGAGTGTGTAATTAAGTATCTCTTTAGTGCTACTTTAAATTGTCCCTTGCACTGGTTACAGGGAACATTGGGTCTGGGTAACAATAAGATGCAATGAAGTTAGAGGGATGGAATTTTTATTAGTTGATTGTAGGTATCTGGCATGTGGGTTGCACAGTTCAGGACAATGTGTAAGCTACAGCATTAATTCTATAGGTGCTCTGTTCCAACATGGAGAATGAGTGTTATGCTGTCCATATGTGGATTTGTTCTCTGTTTTGACAGTATAGATGGATTGATGGGATGTCATCAGGTCAAATTATACGCAGTTGTATGGAAAAGTGAACATAGGGTGCAGTGAGGGTACTGATAAATTGTAGGAAGAGGAATGAGAATGACTTAGATCAGCAGGTTCTTTATAGTAAGAAATGTGTGTATGTTTGGTTGAGCGTATGCCACAGCCTTCTGTGTTTCGAGCTTCGTTCCTATGTGTACTTGTTTGTGACTCATCTCTACAACCTCCGGAAGCCAAGTGTGTATTTCTTGATGACCATTCCCCATGACTTCCTAGTATCAAGTAATTTTGCTGTAGGTGTCTTAGGGACTCTTTTGATGTGATCATGTATTCTTCCATATTACTGACTCATCCCATTTGAAATAATTTACATATAAATCTCATTTTCTTAATACATCCCTTCTCCTGTTTGGACGTTGCCTTTGGACTGTCCAGTTGCCTCCACTTTCTGATTGGGCGGTTTGTACAGTGGAAATAGTTCATCTAAAAGGTTCTTTTATTACTGAGATACATTACTTGCTTATCTTGATACTGTGACAGCATTACTATCACTCTGCTAAGAAATATGACATATAAATAGTCACTTTACATGCAACTAATTAAATTATGTTACACAATTTTTAAAAGAGTATTTTGATATACCTGAGACCATTATCAGTGTCACCATTTAATGCTCAAATTCACTGTCAACAAGTGCCATTTGGATTTATCTACTGTGTGCATTAACTATTTATAAAATAAAAATTAAGTTTTAGTAATGATTAGTTAGGAACTCATGTAGACTGAGATGTGTATGAATGAAATATTTAATATTGAAGAAGGATATAACTTCGTATAGTCTGTTGAAAGTCAACTGAACTTTTGGAGCAACACTACATTTGCATATTCATAGTGAAATAGTAAGCCAAGCAAACAACCAGAATGAAGCAGGCAGCAAGCATGTACTGCTCTGTATGATCAGTCCAATCATACAATGGCAGTCCTATTAGATTCTCTTTTAGTGGCTTAGTGAATTCAGTTGAAGGCAATGAGTGTATTTGATTGCAGATTGTATCGCACATATCGTGACAATAAGTACATTTACTTCCTAATGGAAGCCTGCCTGGGTGGAGATGTGTTCACAGTCTTGCAGAAGTACAGGTTCTTTGATGAGGATATAGCCCGCTTCATGACAGGGTGTGTCGTGGAGGCACTGCACTATCTTCATGACAGGGGCTACATTTATCGTGACCTTAAGCCAGAGAACCTACTATTGGACCATAAGGGTTATGTCAAAATGGTAAGTGCTGTAAGATATCACCATGCAAGTTCTTTCTCATTTCAACAATATAATTAAAAGAACGAGTTAACATGTTGAAATACTTTAACTGCACAAATTTATGATGCTACCAAGTGCTGTTTTTTCTGGATACAGAGTCTCAAAAACTCTTAAATGGAGAATCGTTTGATTTGAATTTATAATTACATTGCAAGTGGCATCATCACATCTATTTTTGTTTCTCAGTTGCGGGTTTGAAATCCCTGGAATATTTTTGGTAGAATTGGTGGTGGTGTTGTTGTTAGTGAGATTTTGTGTTTTCAGAATTATACTCCATGGGTATTAGCAACCCTCTGCTTCCTCCCTCATAAACAAACAGAAGGCATCTGCCTAGCTCCTTCTATTGCTGAGGTCTAGGATTCATGGAGCTTTTCTGCCATGTTCCATATGCTGTGGTTAGGCTCAGAGGCAGTTTATAACTAATCTTTATGTTCATACCGCTCCATTATTAAGCAAGGGCCACTGGATTCATTGCTCCTCTGTTGGTGTTGTGGCCTTGATGGCTTCCTGAACATATCCCAGCTCTGAAGTTTGCTAGGCAGCTGTGCTGATAATGTTGATGGTGAAAAGTATAAATTTATGGTACCATGACATCAGGGGTCACCAAAACCTGCCATTTGTTTCAGAAGTTTCTGCAGTGGAGAAGATATACAGACTGACTGATATGATGATACTGCAGACTTTCATTTCCTTATGAAATTAGGAAAGAAAGCTAAACATATAGATATTAAATAATATGGAAAACAAACTCTAGCAGAAGAACAAGGATTTCAGTCAGCAATATTTAATAATGATGGAGTATGTATAGAAGTAGATAAAAAAATAAAAACATGAAATGTGAGTTAAATTACAACTTCATGACACAGCCTTTACTGGGAATCACATTTGATTTTACTTGTTAAATTAATAATGTGATTTTCATATCTACTCACTTACTCACGGAGCTGAGCCCGTTTTGAGAAGCTGACAATTTTGCAGCTACTCAAGAACTTCCCACCATTTTATGGATCCTGAGGGTTCATTATCATGTTCACAAGAGCCATCGATTGCTCATATCCTGAGCCAGATCAATAATAGACTCCTTCCACTGATCAGGAAATTTTTCATTATGCCAACTAAAATTAATTAGCTTATGGATCTTAGGACGTAATATCTCTCCTCCTGCTTGAATAAGTTCTGCTGGAATTTGATCACTACCTGATGATTTAATGCTTTTCAACTTTACAATAACAATTTTGTCCTCACAAGGGCTAGGATCAGGTACTAACGGCTCAGCTGTATGTATTTCTATCTGCCTAACATCACTGACCCTATGTACATTCAATAACTGAGAGAAGTAGTTCCTACACCTGTTCAAAATGTTGTGGGAATCTGCAAGCAGATCACCATTCTCATCCTTCACTAAGTTACTGCTAGGCTGGTAACCCCTCTTAAAGCTATTTATTCCTGTATACAGGTCTCTAATGTTCTTGTTCTTACTGTTCATTGCAAGCTCATCAATTCTTTCTTGGTTCAGAGTCCCTTGGGACTTGTGACCATATTTTACTGTTTCAGATTTGAGACTTCCCTTTTCATCACAGCTAACAGTTCTGGTTATATAGCCACAGCACAGACCACATAGAAAACCTCTTCTATTCAGCGTAATTGCATAACCTAGCAACTAGCGAGTATCTTATAATAATGGACTCCCAATTGTCACGTTCTTAGGGGCAGGTATTTACCGGCCATCACATAGAGACTGCAGTTCTACTATTGTTGCCTGCATTCGTTGCCGCGAGAATGTTTGCATACATTCCTCTATTGTTAAAAAAACGGCACATATATCACTATATATATAAAATTTTCTGAAAGAATCACGATGAATAAAGCAGCGCTCGTTTTATGTGCTAAGGAGAGGCATTAGTTCTTCTATACTCCTTTGCTCTAAATAACTTTTACAACACCAAAAAGACAGCGTATTAATTGTAGGAAAGTGGACGGCAAAACATTGAAATTTTACCAACTTAATGTCTGTGAATGCAGGTGCCAGTACAACATAGTATTGTGTATGAGTTGAAAGTTATAGAGTGAGGTTACTGAATGTGAGATAAATATTTGACAACATGTAATAAACTTATATTAGAAATTTTATTTTTCCAGATTGATTTTGGGTTTGCAAAACGGGTTGGTAAGAGTGGAAAAACTTGGACATTTGCTGGAACACCAGAATATGTGGCACCTGAGATTATTTTGAACAAAGGACATGATCGAGCTGTGGACTACTGGGCACTAGGCGTGTTCATACATGAACTGATCACTGGAAGGTACTGTGACCATATCATCTGTAAACAAAATATTTGCAATTCAATTGCCACCCCTATGTAGTATACCTCTATGTGTACTGCTAGGATTTCTTCCTGGGGGGAAGCCAGGAAAGTTTGCTTGCAAATTTATATATAAGCCATTTAAAATATTTTATGTATCACCCTACACGTAGATTTGAGGATGTCTATACTGAAATATATATGACAACATATTCAAATATTATGTTGAATTTTGATATATTTCTTTCTTTTAACTTTTAATTTTTTTTAAAAATCTCATAAGGGAAAGTAAAATCGCCCCTTTCCCTACCAGTGCACATACTGTATATCCATATATTCCTTCAGAAATTACATTTCTTATACACATGGAAGGGCATTCAATAAGAAACTGAAGATCCTGTACCAGAACAAACAGGCTGAACTTGCTGGGGGTGTGTGTGTGTGTGTGTGTGTGTGTGTGTGTATGTATGTATGTATGTGTGCGCGGTGGGCGGAGCGAAACTTGTTCTTCCCCCCCATCTAAAGGGTTGCATGCATGACGAAAATGACGGGTTCTAGTTTGGATGATTGGATGTATTAGCACCCTGGTTACAATCTCTCTTAATCACATTTAAATACAGTGCTACATTGCTCTCATTGATTTGCTAGTTCCTGAGCAATTCAAATCACTCCAAATATTACACATAAATAAATCTTCAAACCACACTTTAAATCCACACAGGCCAACCTCATGTATTCTTCTGTACTCCTGGTCCCACTTCAATCCATTCACATGATTCCTCTGTGATTATTTCTCTCTCTATGATGAACTCAGGACTCTGCCACTCTCTCTGTTCCATTACTTATTTACTAATTCACTCAGAATTTACGGCTCACGGCTCTCATTATATATCCGCAGCATGGACCGCAAAGGAAACACAATTCTACTGTTGATGACGCAGACTGCACAGAAAACATGCCATATCATATCTAGTCATTCTATTGATGCGCTGACTTTCGCCTAGCAACTGGCTATAAACATTTGTCTTATTGTTGTAATGTACTCAATTAAAGTGTGGGGGTCTTGATGTGTAGTTTTGTCATTACTCCGATGACAACCCACTGCTTTGGAACAGTTTGTTGGTCCTGAAAAGGACCGTGGTTACTGAGATGCTTGATCGGAGAGGTAGCGCGGCGCGCGCCTGTAAGGAGAGAGGCTAATTACGGTGAGTGGCCTGGCCGCAGTGCAGCCGTGGCTGGAGGTTGCTTGGTTGCCGTGCGGCAGCGTGAGTTGGAGGTTGCTTGATCGCAGCGCGGCGGCTGCTGGTGAAAGGCTAGTTGTTGAGCGCGGTCGTAGGAGTTATGAGGCAGTGGCTACGCCAGTTGCCCAGTGGGTTGGACAGTAACACGACCACCGGCGAGTCCAGGCGTCGTGCCCCAGTGAGTCGGGTGTCAGAGAGCCAGAGGGCCGAGGCAGTCGTGCCTGGCGCAGCCTGCCGATACCTCCGAAGACCGAGCACTGGTGACGAAGCCTGCTGGCTGATGTTGCTTGGTGTGGGTTGTTCATAGACCGATGATCAACTGAATACTCGGCGTTGGAGCTGCCCCTTTTTATACACTGCTCGGTGGGCGGAGCGAAACTTGAAATTGAGGAGGAAGAATTGGTTGGCTAGCGCGCGTAATGGTGTAGATGCGGGCTAGCAGCGAGCGCAGTATAAATGCGAACGTTTGAAGCAATCTGACTGGTTAGCACGCGTGATGGTGAAAAGTGATGTGAAGAGCAAGCGCTGCAGAAATGCGCGATAATGTGGGATGTTCCCACAGAAGGTTGTTTACAAGTTGTTGCCTAGAAACGCTCTGGCCATCCATGTCACAGTACTTTCTGATGTCACAGTTGTTGTTTCATAGGTCAGTTAATTACCCTTACCCCTAACTAACAAAATAACTAACTAACTAACTCCATGGAGCTGAGCCCTTCTTGAGAAGCCACCAGTTGTGCAGCTATTCAAGAACTTTCCAGAAATTTATGGAACCTGAAGGTTCATTACCATGCCACAAGAGCCCTCTGCTACTCCCTATCATAAACCAGATCAAACCATTCCATATCACCCAATCCTTGCTCTCTTTAAGATCCATTTTAATATTATCCACCCAACTACATCTTGGTCTTCCTAGTGGTCTCTTTCATTCTGGCTTTCCCACCAATATTCTACTCGTATATGCATTCCTCTTCTACCCCATTTGTGTCACATACCCTGCCTATCTCATCTCCTTGACGTACTTGGCGATAAGTATAAATTATGAAGCAACTCCTCATTATGCAGTTTTCTCCAACCTCCCATGACTTTGCGTCTTCAGTTCAAACACTCTCCTCAGCATCATGTTTTCAAACATCCTCAGTCTGTGTTTCTCCCTTAATGTCAGAGATCAAGTTTCACACCCATTGAGAACCACAGACAAAACTATAGTTTTTTATGTTCTAATTTATATGAATTTATAGACAGCAGGTGAGAAGACAAAAGGTTCTGGACTGAATGGTAACAAGCATTATCCGAATTCAGTCCCTTCTTAATTTCTTCAAAAATATCTGAATTGTGCCACATTTTAGAACACCTTTTAGCACCCTTTATGTGCTATGTACCATTTAATTTCTGTCCCACTTGGTTTTCCTGGACCTTCCAAATGACACATTCTAAAGCAAAGTTGAAAAGGAGTGGCAATAAAGCATCTCCTTGTTTTAGACCATTCTGGATAGGAAATTTATCAGACAAGTCTTTACCTACATGGACTTTACTATACGTTTTGTTTAAGCACATTTTAATCAACCCAACTAGTTTCATGGGTATCCCAAACTCTATCAGAATAATGTACAATACTTCCATCCTAACTGAATCGTAGGCTTTCTTGAAGTCTATGAATAGCTGATGTACTGTCTCATCGTACTCCCATTTTTTATCCAATATTTGATGAATTCAAAAGATCTGATCTGTAGTTGATCTGTTATGTCAAAACCCACACTAATGATCCCTAATAATTTGATCTGTATATAGACTTAACCTTAAGAGAAGGATATTGGATATAATTTTATATGAAGTAGACATCAGTGATATCCCCTATATGTATCCCACTTTGAATTAAGATTAAAATGTACAAAACTTTGGTATCCATAAAGTTTGGACTGACATCTCAAGGGAAGAATTTTACAAGAATTTGGATATTGAAAGATGATGAAATATTCATTATGGAATTGAAGTCTTTTCAACTAGAATACAATTGTATCAATTAAAAAAGTTGTTGGCATGTGGTAATGTAGTTGATTTAGGCACTACACTACAAGCCAGAAGGTCGGGGTTCGATTGCAGATGACATCACTGTATTTTTCAGTTGACCTAATCCAGTGTTTCTCTACCTTTTTAGGCCCAAGGACCAGTAAAGTGTCTAAAGAAATTCTACGGACCATTAAGTTATGTAGGCCAATTTTTTTTAAAACCTATGTGGTATTACCAATTTTGTCTGTGGTTCTGTATGGGTGTCAAACTTTATCTCTGACATTAAGGGAATAACATAAACTGAGGGTGTTTGAGGACAGATTGTTGAAGGGAATACTTGGACTGAAGAAAGATGAAGTGACAAGAGGTTGGAGAAAACTGCATAATGAGGAGCTTCATAACTTGTACTTTTCTCCAAGTATAATTAGAATGATCAAGTCAAGGAGGATGATTTGGGCAGGGCATGTAGCAAGAATGGGGGATACAAAGAATGCATATAGGATATTGGTGGAAGGCCAGAAGGAAAGAGACCACTAGGAAGACCAAGATGTAGTTGGGTGGGCAATATTAAAATGGATCTTAAAGAGAGCAAGGATGGGGTGATATGGAATGATTTGATCTGGTTTAGGATAGGGAGTAGCGGAGGGCTCTTGTGAGCACGGTAATGAACCTTTGGGTTCCATAAAATGCTGAGATATTCTTGAGTAGCTGCAGAATTGGCAACTCCGCAAGAAGGGCTCCGCTGCATTAGTAAGTAATGTGGTATTACTAACATATTGGACTTACTGTGCCATTTATAACATAATAAATTTAAAAGCATGTTTTGAATACATGTGGAAACATAATTAATTAAATTAGAAGTATGCTGAAAATATGTTTCAGATTTCTTTTTCACAGTTTTGAGGTGGTCACAAACCCTTTCCAGAAAGTCAGAATCAACAGAAATATAATTTTCTACAAAAAAGAATTCCAATGTGTGGAAAGGGGCAAATTGTCTGTCTTTTACGTAACTACTCCATAACATCAGTTCTCTCTTATGCCTTTATTTTGTCATAGTCATCAAGAACAGTTAAAGAATTTCCCTGAAGGGAGAGATTTGGTTCATTTAATTTAGGAAAAATGTCTGAAAGATAGAATAGTGTTAATAACCATGCTTCGTCAACAAGGAGTGATGCAAAATCAGAATTACGTTCATTTACAAACAATAAAACTTCGTGCCTTAATTGAAATAATGAAGCAAAAGTTCTGTATATACACTGCCCATTTCATCGCAGAGTACGGAAAATATCCTGTTATTTAATGGTCGAGCCTTAATAAAATGAACTAGCTTCACAGCGTTGTCTAGCACAGTTTTAAATTCTGGTGGCATTTCTTTGGAGGCCAAAGCTTCCCTCTGAATTAAACAATGTACCCAATTCATATCTGGAGCTACTTCCTTGACAACCCCACTATGCCTGCCTGTAAGGGAGCTAGCTTTATCCGAACAGAAGCCCACACGTTTTTCCCAATGGATCTCTTTTTCTCTTGTGTAATTTTTAAGAGAGTGAAATATTTCTTCTCCAGTTGTTCGGGTTGACAAAGTTCTACAAAACAGAATATCGTCATGAATGTTGTTATCATGTGCATATCTTACGTAGCATATTAACTGCGCATCATTTGCAACATCAGTAGTCTGGTCTATTTGTAACGCATAATAAGGGATCTTCGTTAACTCTTTCGATTAACTGAGATTCTACGTCTCCTGCCATATTGTTAATTCTGCAACCGACAGTGTCATTTGAAATAGGAATCAAAGCAACGTCTATTAGTAACATTTTATCTAACATAGTTTTTACCACATTTTTTATAGCTGGAAGAAGTAAATTTTCCCCAATAGAATGAAGTTTCCCTGTTTCGGCTATGCACAAACTTAAGAGGTAGGATGCTTCCAGTGCCTTGTTATTAATTGAACTCATGACCAAAACTATATTTTGTCCATGATTTATTCTCCCTAAGCGTCGCTGAAAAAAATTCAATTAGCTTATTTTTCACAACACAATGTTTAGTTTCTAAATGTCGTTGGAGTTTCGCAGTGTTCATGCACTCGTTCGACAACACTTCATAACACAAATCGTATCAAGGTTTCTTTTCACTTTCATCACCACAACAAGCAAACCGGAATTCCAAGTATGAACTGTCATGTTTCCTACTGTATTTTTTCTTTGAACTGCTTGCTTCTTTGACTTTAATAGTATCATATTTACTTGCCATTAAAACACGTGTATCACAATTAGGGTTATCATCGCCTGTTTCGTTTGCTTTTCTTTTTAGAGTCCCTGTTCTGAGCCACTTTTCCATTATTAAAAATGTTTCCGAAAAATATATAAAAATTGCCGTTAACTCACGACACACTTTGTCCAACTATCACTTAGCACTTATGAAGATATACTGAGCGTTAGTTGAAGGAGGAAAACTTTACAACAAGCAATTGGTTGAAATGTGGATGACACGTGTTAACTTCAAATCTAACAAAGGAGTAAGGGAAAGTAAAACTATATTGTTTTTCACTGCACCCCTCTTTTATTATCCGTCTTTCTGCAGCTACCAATTATCGGCGTGGTCTCTCCTCTGAAATTAGTGACAATGCAGTCACACCCTCATACCCTGGAAATACCGGATTCTTGTCTGGTCTTTCAAATGTTCATGGAATTTAGAAAGCTTGTTTTTTTCAGTATTCATTAAAAAAATTTTACTTGTTTAATTAATTTTAATTTGTTTCATTTGGATAACTTTAAATTTAATTTACTTTAAGTCTAGCGGCCTCCATAGTCTAGAGGTAACGTTCCCACCTCATGACTCGTAGTACACGGGTACGTGGTACCCGGCGGAGGTCGTCGAATTTTTAAGGGCAGAAAAATTCAGGGAACAAGTCCTCCGGGAGGGACTTTCAGCCGTGGGTCCCATGTCATAGCTTTACGGCACATAAAAGAACCTCATAGGAGGTCACTGAGCCAAATTTACGGACGTTTCCCGCCCAACAACAGTCTCTAATACCTCTGGTAGATGGGGGAAGCATTATAGATACCTCTCAGCTAGTAGAGCCGGTCTCGCTGGCTGGGCGGGACTGATGGTAAGCACCAGTACCGGTAGGATATAGAGACTGGTAGAAATCATAGAGGGAAGCACAATGGACCAATACAGGTCCAAGTGCATGGGGAAACCCACCCTCTCCAATAACTAACTAACTAACTAACTACTTTAAGTCTGCTTGCGGACCACCTGTCCTATCATCGCGGACCAGAGGTTGAGAAACACAGACGTAATCCTTCCAGCCGCTCTATGGCCCTGGGGTCACCTCAGCCTCTAACAGAAATGAGTACCAGGAATCTTCCTGGGGGTAAAGGGCAGCCGATGCATAAGGTTGACAACCTCACCGCCATCTGTAAGCCAATAGTCTAGAAAATGTGGGAGCCTTGACGTTTCTCACATTCCTATGGGCCTCCACGGCATGTTACAGGGGTAACTTTACCTTTTTACCGTCAATCAAGAAGTTAACCATGAAGTGTCGAGGGTGAGATTTAAATGTGTATCATACCACGGTTTGAAGTAAGAGGAGTAAGAGACTTGATGATGTAAGATTTGAGGCTTTCACGGCGGTGACTAGGAAGAAAGCAGTCTTCTGGGATTTGGCACCGTGTATATGTGGTGTTAA